CAAGTACTGTATTACAGAAATAGACTACAGTACTGTATATGTATGTATCATGGATCAAAAACGGAACTGGCCCTTCTATCTTTCTTTGCCTGGATTTATATAAAACGAATTATAGGACTAAATCTGTGTATTTTTGCCAAACTTCAGCAGCATGTATGGATTTATTTTATTTTTCATGCCTGGCTTTAATTGAAAACAACCATTGATGAAAATGTCATAACATGCTCGAAGTTCCTGTGATATCAATTTTCGGTGTGGAGGATTTTTCAAGAAACCCTACCACAGTACAGTACAATAAAATCTCATCCTTACAAAAGAATTCTGGGGATTTTGGGAAAAAATTTGTTATACTGTACTGTACTGTACTGAATAATTTTTATAATTATATTCACAAAATTAATGACTGTAAACAATTTCCACATCAGACCTGCCTATAATGAATCATCTGGTGTTCTCAAATTTTTGATGATTGTTTGAAAAACATAGTGATCTTTTTAAAAAAAAGTACTGTATCTTCAATATTGCATATAGCAATTGTTACATTTTGGGCAGATGATGTGTTGAACCATTTGTAAACATATTTGCCATTGATTGAAGATTGCATTCATGCCTCAATAAAGAACCATCAGTTATCAGTCACATTATTATAGGGATCAAAAATTTCAGACTTTGCCTGCTTTAAGAAATGTATACTTATAGAATATCTCAAAAAGGTTGTATAAAAATATTGTTTCAACATGTGGGCTTTCTACTGCTGTGGAACTTGAGAAAAGGTATACTGGAAAATTTTACTGTTGATAATTGACTTCTTATTTTTCAAAGGTCCTGTGGATGATCCAAGAACCAGTGGATGAGACAGCACCTCATTACTACTTCATCAACAACAGGAAGATCGACTTGTACAATAGAGCAGCCATTGCAGTGTTGAAGGACTACCCGAGGATCCAAGTTTGGTACAGTGGACGGGATTACAGCATCAAGTACCAGGAACTGGGCCACAGCAGCTACTCGTACCCAGATCCCATCCACATGAGCCACGCCGTCATGACAGCCGAGTCACAGATCCTGCTCAATTTGTTGTGTAACGACTTTGTCACGGATTCTGACGCTGAAGATCGTTGTTTGTGTTGTAGTCACAAGTGTTTCTTGTGAGATTCTGTTTGTTTTGTGACGGTATCATTTTTTTTTTGGGGGGGGGGGAAAGAGAAATTATTGATGTAAAAGAGATGCGATGATGACGTTTGAATAATTTTTGGGAGCGAGGGATGATGCTTGTTATTTGAAGTCAAAAAGTCAGTGTTTTATACGAGGGTTGGTTCATAAGTCTTGATAAACGGTCACTTGCCGTCATCGGAGGTGGACGCAGTTTTTTTTTGTCGCTTTTGCTCTTCAATAAATCCTCCAGCAGTTTCTAATTTATTTTTGGCCCGCCTATAGCTGCAAATGTAAGCTTGAAAAATACCTCATATTATAGTGAATGATCTCCACTGAAGTGAAGTTTGATCAAGAGCACCTGCCCCAAGAAGTGGGGAGCTATTCTTGGCAGTGTGACCCCACAATTAACTGGTGCACATGGGCTACATTCTGGGGTTATATACAAGCATGCACCTCCTGCTGTAGATGCAATTGTGCTACCATATATACCAAGGCTATATTTGGTACACATGTGGTATAACAGGAGAACACACAAGTGCACATACCGACTGTAACCTTCGTGTGACTTCTTTGTTTACAAATGTGACCCTAATTGAGTAACCCTGGCATGAATACACAAGTGGTGCACATTATGGATATACATGTGCAAAATAAAAACTTTGGTACACTTGAGGTGCACAGCAAGGGTCACTGTGTATAGAATTACAGCAGGTATATCTCCCAAGTGTGCCCAAATTGGGATGTGAGCACAGTATACAGTACTTGCATGCCCTATAGGAATTTCTGAGTGCAGTATGAAGTACCTATTCCTTGAGAATGATAAAGCATCTGGGTAATGAAGCTGAACTTGGGATTATGCATTTATACACCCTGTGATTCTGTCTATTGCCAAAAGTGAATAAGAACAACCTATACTGAAATGGATTGACTTTGAGGACAGGGACTGCCTCATCATTTTTTCCATTGACAATTGGCTTAATTGACAAAAAACTATTGATTTTAAGCTCTTTTTTTGTTTTTGGATTTATTGCATGAAAAAATGCTTTGAAAATAGGCAGAGAGTACAGTATGTTGAAAAGCAACTGAATGTTGGGCCTATTGTGAGTAAAGGATAGTTTGTATAGGCGTTGAAACACTCTTGAATGTTTTTCAAAAATTGTCAAGACTTATGAACCAATAACCTTGTACAGTATATTCTTCCAACAATAACAGGTTTTTGGATTTGTGACTTAATTTTCCCCATGAATTTAAAATATAGCTCATCGCGATGAAAACAGCAGCCGACGAGGGACGCCCGAAAGCCCCGTTTTACTTCCGGTTCCCACATTGGATCATTTTGGCAGTGCTTTCGTTTGTCCTTTTGGGTCCGTATCCGTTATACGCTGGGATTCTCGTGATTTCCGTTCTCGTCGTGTGCACTAGTGTCTTGAGAAAGCAGTGTTTTGCGCGAATCACTGAGGATTTCACTCCGGAATACAATGAAGTGTGTCACGAGGACAAGGTGGAGCATTTCAAGTCGCTCGCCGGAGTGGAATCTTCAGACGAGGGTCTGAAGAAGATGGGCAAGTTTCGCTTGTTGGACCTTGGTTGTGGGGCTGGTGCGAATTTGATGTATTATCCCGATAATGCCGTCGTGATTGCGGTGGATTACAATCCGTCTATGGAGACATTTTTCAGGTAAAAGCCGAAGATATACCGTATATTCCGCTCCGCTCGATATTTGAGGACGTGTTTTTGGGAACGTTAGCCGCGCATAGGTGTCGCTTGAATCGGATTTATTTGCAACTCCTTTTCCAAATTATAAAATTATATGCTGTACATGAAATGAGAGGGTGTCATTCAGGCCGAAACCCTGAACTGCTTATGTCATATTTGAGATGAGACAGAATGAGCCCAGCAAAACTCGTGTTGTATGTTTGAGAAACCCTATATATATTGATGCTGCTTAAAAATTGCAAGCTTAATTAAAAAAAAACATATTCACCCTTTCAAATCTTTGCGGGACAAATTGCTTAGAAAAGCTTAGAGTCAACAAACAGTGCTAGTGTTTATACCTGTTATTCAGATTAAATTTTCATCAACATTCACATGTCTTTTTGAAGATCACAGTTTTACAGTTTTTTCAACACTGAAAAGCATCTGAAAAGGCCACAAAAGGAAGATGTTGAATATGTGCAGGTTCCATTGTTTCAAATCTTTCAATCCGTAAAAATTTTTTAAAATCTTGTTATTAAAAATTATTCATTATAAAAGACTTTTTCTGCAGTCCCCACAAGTTTATTGTAACAAGATTTCACTGTATTCCCATTATGAAGGTTTCAACTCAAATGAAGGTATGCATTATTGTACTTGCATTTTTATTTATGCCAAAGGAACTTGAATTCAAATGTATTTTGTGCTGAGGTCTTGTTAAAAGAGTTTCTTGGGAATGTTTCACAAAGGACAAATACTGTAAAACTAACTACAATCTTATTCAAGCTTACTCCTAAATACTCCATAATATGATGAAATACAAACTAGGAGTTGAGAAAATTCAAGCGACATCCATGTGAATGCAAAGGAAATCAATGACTTTTGTTGCTGATTTGGGGGTTTTCTAATGAAATCAATCCAACAGATGGGGTTATTCATTTTTCTTGATAGAACCTATTTTTTTGTCTGTCTTGCACATCATGATATAAATTAAGGGCCAGGTTGAAGCGGCTTGAAATGGAACCCCAACTAGAAAGGTTTTTAGTCACCTCTGCCTTGGACCTGAAGGACATTGAAAGTGGTTCTGTGGATGTGGTGTCTACATGCATGCTTCTCAACTACCTGGAGGACTATGACTTGTTTTTTGCTGAAGTGCTCAGGGTTTTGGCACCTGGAGGCAAATATTACTTTTGGGAGCATGTTTTGGACCCCAATCCCAGGTTAGTCATTGGTTCACAAATGAGCAAACATGTGAGCGGATTCAGGACAAAATGAGACCAACAATTTGAGACAGGGTCAAGTTGAGACAGATGCTTTTGGAGACAGGGACAATTTGAGACAGAAACTTTTTGAAACAAGGACAATTTGAGACAGAAACTTTTTGAAACAAGGACAATTTGAGAAGATAATTTCTGAGACAGGGACAATTCAAGACTTAAAATTTTTGGCACATGTGGACAAATTGACAAAAGTACATTTTGATATTTTAAGACAGATGCATTTTGAGACAAAATGACTTGACTGCATTTCTCACTATTATGTTATGTTTTAGGTATGAACATGGACAAAAAGTGCACTGTTTGGTGAAAAGTCTATAATTACACGGTGTTTCTCCTTTTTGTCCATCATCTCTGTCAATTGAGTTTTCCTCATCAGGGAAAAACTAGAATCTTTGAACCAACCTAAGCAGATTCCTCTCCTCCTCAAGATAGTTTTTTTTGTCTCAAATTGTGTATGTCAATAATTGTTCCTGTCTCAAATTTGTCCAGTCTCAAATTGTCTGTCTCAATTTGTTTGTATCCCCATGTGAGCATCTTGTTTTGAGGACAGTTTTGCTCATTGAGGCCTGCTGATTTAAAACTGTCCAACCTTAAATGAGCTTCCTATCCTATCCTTTTTTTATTTTTATTTTTGAGTTGGGGTCTCTATACACATATGAGGTTCATTTCAAGTGTGAGGCCCAGGTTTTACACATATATACACGTGATGAGAATGCAGATGCAAATTTGAATATAAATCCCCTTTTTTGTTATTGTTGTTAGGTCCCTGTTGCGAGCATCTCAGTGGTTCTTGGAGCCGATCGTGACCCGATGTGCAGATGGGGCCCATTTGATCAAGGAAACTGCGATCGAGTTTGAGTCCCGAAGACACTTGTTTCAGGACCTTAGCCTCAGGCATTTTTACATTTATCCGCATGCTCACATGTCCGCAGCGACCAAATTTTTTGTCTGGTTTTTGCAAAGCGCGAATATTTGCGGCGTTGCGTTGAAAAATATGCGCTGAATGTTTATTTTTGATATCATTTATGAATGTGATGGTGAAATTTTTTTTGTGGGGGGGGGGGGGGGGGGGGGAGNGGTGGGGGGGGGGGGGTAAAGTACTAATTGTTTTAGAGTGACTTATTCTTGCATTTGCTGGGTGCTGTTATTATATGGACGTTTTTATTCATCAAAATGCTTGTTGGAGGGAAAATTCAGTCTCAAAATTACTGGAATAGAAATTTAAAAACCACGTTTGGTTCAGGAACTCCTTAGTTTCCCAAGAAATATTTGTCTTAAAAAATACATACATTTTAGATGCACTGCTGGCCAATAATTTGGGGTATTTTCCGCTCGTTTTGCTTGCATGCAACTTTTATTTAATATTGCAAATTCTCAATTCATGACAATAAATTAAAGGAATATTTAGGTTTTCTTTCAGAAGACACGCTTTTTCCAAAGTTGTGTCATTGATTAAAAATTAAATCTGGCTGAAAAAAGACAAAGTATAGGCCATATTTGAACAGAGATATTTTTTGGATCGTTAATTTTTTTAGCAAAATTTCAAATCTCTTGGATTTTTGCTTGAAGAAAAAAGGTTGGAAGCTTTGAAAATATATTATTTTATGCATGCAATTTTATGTCAGAGTCCAACAGATTGAGTTGAAAAAAAAGTTGATGAATTGAAAAATGGTTTTATTTTTTTCTTTCAGCCTCAGAACTACTCTCCTTATTGTTGAAATGGCACAGGAAATGGAAGCATATCATCCACGAGTTGTAGAAGTATAAAGTGCAATTTAAAAAATGTAAACATGCACAAAAGCTTTCAAGCATCCTGACTTATTGCTTTCAACAAGTACCACTATATAGCTGAATTTCCCATGAATTTTCTAGGGGAAATGGCATGTTTTGGGGTGCATATATACCATATATTCAGACGTTATCCCTGCTTGAATAAGCGGGTTGCTGCAGCATTTTCAGGATGTGATCTGAAGAATGCGGAAATAATTGCTATTAGAGGATGAGACATCCATCTTGAAGGGGGTTCAGACTTCAGAGAAGGGTGCTGTGGGGTGATTAGCAAGTTGCTT